GTAGAGACGGGGTCTCGCTCTTGCTCAGGCTGGTTTCGAACTCCTGAGCTCAAACAATCCTCCCGCCTCGGCCTCCCAGAGAACTAGGATTACAGGCGTGAGCCACCGCGCCCGGCCTTTCACACACTTCTTGCATATTATCAGGGAGAGAAATACGGTCTATTACCTTCATGCACACTCCCCCAACAGACACCACTTGATCACATGGTCAACTCTGGTTGTAAGAAAGGCTGGCGGAGGGTCTGGCTCCTTCATCATCTCCAGAAGGAGGCCAGAAGGAAGAGGGTAATTGGGGAAAGCGTTAGGGCAGCACAGAGGCATCTGCCTTGTTATATGTAGCAAATACTCTGTTCATTGTGTGTACTGCACACTCTCTGGCTTGCCCATGGCCAAAATCACTAATAGCTCTTGGAACTTTTCACCATTGAACCTAAATATAACCTCAGAATCCTCAACAACAGGTTGCAAGCAGTGACAGTCTGTGATTGTTAGCACAAGTGACCTATTTCACAGACTGAATTTACAGACTAGATTTAAACTCTTTGAAAGCAGGACCACATCCTTGGTTTTCTCTCTGTGGTACCTACAGCAATGCTTGTGCTCAAATGGAAACTCAAAGCAGTAACAGTGGCTTCTCCTTAGCTCAGCTGAATGTTGTAATTTCCTTGGGAAAAATCAAAGCCCCGTTACCATTATTCTCTGACTACTTAATGTTCAATATAGGCTTGGACAGCCTTATTCCCCACTCCTGTGGGCCTCTTCATAAAGGGTCACCTGCTATCCTTTGCTTCATTTTACTCATGGGGTCTATTTCCAAATACTTCACAGATGAGTGGTTCACAGGGTTGAGCCAGAACATCAGTTATATCATCCTTATTTGGAGAAGCAAAGGAATTTATCCCCTTAAGCCCTCACAGGTAGCTCAGACTTGTTGTGGATTTAGAAGCCAGCAGGCTTCTTCTCTCTGGCTCTGACAGCCTTGAGACCACCCCGAGCCTTCTTGGGCAGAGCTGCTCCAGCTGCACCAAGAGTAGGCCCAAGTTGCATAATCAGTAAAGTACTTGACTTTGGAGCAAATTAAGCCAAACTAAGAAGAAATAGGATTGGCATGAGCTCCTATTTGTATTTACTCACAAGTCACAAGAAAATATGGGTCTCTTGGTTTTTTTTTTTTTTTTGAGACAGAGTCTCACTCTCTTGCCTGGGCTCGAGTGCCATGGCATCAGCCTACCTTACAGCAACCTCAAACTCCTGGGCTCAAGTGATCCTCCTGCCTCAGCCTGCCAGGTAGCTAGGACTACAGGCACGCACCACCGTGCCCGGCTAATTTTTTCTATTTTTAGCTGTTTGGCTAATTTCTTTATATTTATAGTAGAGACGGGGGTCTCACTCTTGCTCAGGCTGGTCTCGAACTCCTGAGCTCAAGCAATCCTCCCGCCTCGGCCTCCCAGAGTGCTAGGATTACAGGC